TTCAGTTTGATCTGGACCGAGACTACCTCTTTTCGTTGGACCAAATTTATTTGGTCCGGAACTGTTGTCCAGGGGAGGTTTCACACCTGCAATTTTGGTTTGGATCAAACTGAAAAGTCTGAAAGTCTGGAACAAACGAAGTTGGTGTGAAAGCCCCGTTAAACTCTTTTCTCTTGTTTATGTAGGTTTGCAAGGAGAGAAGGGAGAGAGAGGCTCTCAAGGAACTGGAGTCAGAGGACAGAGAGGCCCAAGTGGGCCACCAGGTAACACAGTTGGTCTTTTTCTCCCTTTTCATGGCTAAAATAGCTAGATTTTTCACGAGAAAGTTGTTGTTCTGCGGTTCTCTTACAACTTCAATTTTACACTAAAACACAGTTTCACAGTGACAGCTTTTTTGTGCATAGTTAGTCCAGTTAAAATGACACATTCCAGCTAGAAGCCAAAATTTACCTACAATATTTGTGTCTCAGGGACTTTGGTTTGGGCAGCTGCACCGCATAAATTCTTTGGAGGGACCCCAAACACATTCCCATTTTTTTCTTTCTCAAAGATTTATGTCTCGTGAATACTGACCTTCTCCAAACACTGTGCACATCTGATCTACAGTAAATGGAAAGTATTTACGTTCATCATTCAGGAGAGAATTTCTGTGACTAGCGTTTAGAAAATCTTGACTCAGTTTTTAGTCAAGGTCATGATGCAATTTTAGAAACAATTGTTGAAGAATGTTATTAGGCTGATATGTCAGTTTGAAAGAGTACATATCCTTTCCTCAATGCCAATTAATATCCAGTATGTTTTCTCTAAAACGCTCACCACTTCAGAAGAATTTCTTTCCCTCGGGAAGCTATTGCAAAACAACAGGAACCTTCTATTGATGTCTACCCCACAACACCAAACACTGACATGTCTGTTTCTGTGAATGAAGTGAGAAACAACTGAGGACTGATGACTCAGACTCACTTTTGTGTGTGTGTGTGTGTGTGTGTACTGTATGTGTGTGGGTGAGAAGCAGATTGTTGTACAATGAGCTCTCTTTGGTGGCTTCATTGACTACACATGGGCTCACTTAAGGGAGAGAAAAGAGTGAGGGGGAAAATTCCATCTTAAGTTTTCACCGTCTAGACAGATGGGGCCGGGGGGGGGGGGGGGGGGGGTTACTCCACTCAACCCCAGACTTTTTTTTTCCTTGATCAAACTTTTTAATTGAGCCACTGAAAATTTAAATTACAGCCCCCTGTTACCCCCACAAAAAAATCACTGAAGATTTACGGGTGATGTCAGTGGGTTTTTGTTCTGAGCTCCAGAGACCTTACAGACTGGCCTTATTTACCTCTTCTCTCTCCTTTGCAGGGCCACCAGGAGAGTCTAGAACGGGACCCCCAGGTCCTTCTGGCTCCGCTGGGCCTCGTGGCCCTCCAGGTCGCCAGGGTACTCCAGGGGTGAGGGGACCACCAGGACCCCCTGGATATTGCGACTCTTCTCAGTGTGTTGGCATTCCTTACAATGGACAAGGATACACAGGTACACTCAACACTGTCTAGGTCCTGCATGCTACTACATTAGATAAAAGAGTATGTGTATGCAAGTGTATGCATACTAATTACATTTGCAACTCCGTGCACTACTACTTTGATAATGTATGGAGATATAAATGTAAGTGTTCCAGAGTATTTATTTTTTTAAAGAACGCTCTTACAACTTATTTCCAAAAGAAGTTCAACTGACTGTTCACTAAGCCCCTCCTCGCTTACCATGGCTATAGACCAGACTGGGGAGGCATCGTGAGGTAGCAGGCAAGGTAGCAAAACAACTATTAGACATTTCTATGTCTAATACATACAAACTTAACAAGATAACATTAGCTTCATGAGTGGATTGGAAGCTAAATGTCCGAGGCAAAAAAATCAGGATCCTTGATGTAAAAAACATGGAAATAAAGAACTACTTTAGCAGTCCCGTTTTACTGCTTAGCTTAGGCAACTTGGACATGGGTTTATGCTGTTGTGTCACTGTTAGTAGTAAGCTAGTTAGCTTAGTAACATAGTAACTTAGCTCATCTTAGTAAAATAGTAACTTAGCTAACATAAACGCTGTTTGATCTATTCCTTACACTTTTACTCTTGTACGTATTTGTGTTTTTTGAAAGGCTAAAAAAAAAGACCCCAAACTCCAAACTCTTTATGTGATTCTACAGCTCCACTGCTTGGTTACCATTGCTAAGCTAGGATTTGACAATCGCTGTTTAGGGTTGGGGTTTAGTGAACAGTCACTTTGGAGCCACTATATTCCAATACCTCCATACATTTGATGTACAATTTTAAAACTGGCATGTAAAGCATTCTAGCTAGTGGTGAATGATGACTTGCATTAAATCATATAAGATGCTTATAACTTTGTCCCACAGAGAAAACTCACACCCTCTTTGAACTATTTTCAGGTTTGGCATAGTAAACGTTCTAAGTCATCTGTGCCACTTACACTTTGAAGTCCTGTTTCTGAGATGTTTGCCCATTTGCTATGGGGCATGTAAGGATAATCACCATGGACATACTTATTGAACATTTAAAACATTACAAAAGCCAAAAAACAGAATGGAGCAGTACTGGCACTAACATCATCTCACAGCTACAAGCTACAGTGATGGCAACCTGCTGGCCTGTTTGCATCTTGAACCACAAACCGTTGGGAGAAAAAAACAAAAAAAAGCAGAGACTGAATATTTCTACGAAGGACGGAGCATGTACAAACACCACCCAAAACAACTACTAACAAAGAGGATTTTATAAAGGAAAGCAATATTAATGTGGAGGTGATATGTGTAAATAAAACTAATTTTTGTGCCTTGTAAATGATTGTATGAACCAGGACGTTTCACTAAAAATCAAGTTAACATCTGTATTGAGCTTGTGCCTCATAACCCTCTGCTTACTTACCACCAGCATAACCTCTGTTTACAACGCCTCAAGTGACTTAAACAGCTCTGTTCCAGACTGACGCATGTTCCACTTGTACTTTTAATCATCATGCTCTTTGTGTACGTTGGCCAGATCAGTGATAAATGTTGCTCTCTTGCCATTCCCATGTGTGTTTTGTAGTATCAGCTGGTTATTATACTACATCTTATTATCCAATAGCTTGATGGATTTTATTGTAAATGTCATCACAGCATTTGAAACTGTTTTTTATTTAGCTTTTTTGGTATTTTAGGAAGCAATAGTTTGACACAGGGAATTTTTTGGGAATTCCATAGTGCAATATAACTTAAATTGTGCATGTGAAAAGTTGGAGAAGCAACTCTTTTTTTTTTGATTGGCCGTCCCAAATATTTTTCTAGCTGACCGCTACCAGCCTGAACCTGAGGTAGTGTCTATACCTGTGGAACCAGCTGGAGAGTTTGAGACAATACAATCACCCGGTTACTCACGAAACCAACGAGGAAAGAGATCACTACCACAAAAAATACAGACACACTAGCATCATAGCTACAACAAGGAGTTATGTAATATTGAAACAACTTCCATGATCACATATGTGAGGATTGTGATGTGATTTTCAGAACAAAACTAGTACTTACATGGGTTTGATACCCCCAATACTGAACATATATTTTTCTGACATGAGAAAGTTTAGCAAGATGAATACAAACCTACATGTTTCGTTCATTACAAACCTGTGTGCTTGCTGAGTGTTCCCTTTAAGTGTCTGCTTGTAATATAACTGCAAGTGTTTATCGGACTCCAATGTGTAATGCACTAATCATTTGAAAACTGGGAGGACGTATGTCAAAGGAAATACAGTATGTATGTTTTTTAACACTTTCAGACAATGTCAAACTTCAGTATGTAAAGCTGTTTGAGATACTCCATCGGTAAAAAAAAAGGTAAATGAATTTGATCCCCAAAGATGTGTGCATTGTGATGTTTTCTTAGGCCTGTAAACCAAATGATAATCTGATTTATTGTAACAAACCAAGCTTGTTTGTTTTTTTTGTTTTGTTACCAAAGGTGGAATTGCATGTTTGTGTTGTATATTTACTGAGGATTTCTAAGTCAGAATATAGTTGTTGTTTTCTATCTATGGAGTTTTGATTTGGTTGCAAGACTATGGACATAGAATTGCTTTTCTCATGTTTTAACTGCACATTTTGTGAATTCCACACAGCCTTATTTTCTTATTTATTTCTGAAACAGAAGAGGCATTTTTCAATAAAACTACTGAAAATGTAGCATTTGTTTCAGCTCTCCAGTCATTTTTGTCTTGACAACTCTTTACCTTCTCGCAGTATCTGTAACATTTTGCTCCGGACTCATGTATTATTGAAAAACACCCTTCACACCACACTCCCCTCTAGATGAAACAGAGTTTATTTGATCTTGAGTGACAAAACCGGTTCTTCCCAACATTAGGCCTTGAGAAATACGCTTTGAAGTTTGAACATTCATTTATTTTGACAGCTAAAGATATTTTGCGCCATCAAGAATGTCAGTTCATGTCAAAGCAACAAGCAGAGAAAGGACAGAGTGTGAAAAATAGTCCACAATACCTAACTATTCCAACATGGGAATTGCTTCACGTCTTTAACATGCACCCAGTTCGCTTTCATCCTTTCAGGTTGTAATGATTATGCGTAGATTTCCAAGGGGAGGAAATAAATAAGACTGTTATCTGCTGTAGGACTGAGCAGATAACAGTCCTGGAAAAACTCACGCATTACCACCCATTAAGCATATCTAAAGGTGAAACAAGAGTATGAGGAAAGGAACAACTGACGCCATTTGTTTATTGTGATGAAGGGAAAGCATGTCTGAGGAGGAGTTCTGCACAAATGCCAGACATAATGACTGGGGGTGAGGTATGGAGGTCAAGATTACCACCACAAAAGGCCATGGGAGAAATCCTCTAGTAAACCCTTTAATTTGCTGCTCTTGTTTTCTAAAGTGCACACGCAATTTATGAACTAGCTTTGCAAAATCCCCTCAATTGGTCTTTAAATTGGAACCTCAAATAGATTTTATAGAAGTTCGTATGTCATGAGAGTCGGGAATTCTTCCAGGTAAAGTGCAGTATGAAAAGCTGTTACATGTTAGTCACAAGGAGGAGATGGAGGCGAGTCTGCAAAAGTATTTCACTTTCAGAAAAGAGCTTACATAAGAGTAAATGTGGAGAACACTGCCTGCCATGTAAATCTCCTTTTAACAGGTATGGGAGAACCCATAGCTCTGGTCTCATTGTGTGGCTTTTCTAAAAAGCTCCTCTGCATTTACAATAGTTAACTTACAGCAGCCCTCTCTGAGACACACTGGTCTTGTTGAAATAGATTTACACCTGTTATAAGTGATACACTGCTCACACTGTTTCTCAATATCAGACTCTGATTTTGTTCTAACATTATTCTATGACATTGTCCAAGACAATGATGCAGCCCCTAAGTCGCATTTATTTTTTTCCACAGCAAATCATAGCACGCATCCCTCTAAATTCTAAAAATCTCTCGTCGGCATAATACTATCCTCACTGTAACCCTGTCTAGTTTATGATTGCTCATTTCTTTGAGTTTGTTGACAATCCAGCGTGCATCTGTGTTCACTTTGTGGCAAGAGTTTCAAGTGGGCTGCGGTTGTTGCAGTTTTTTAACGAACTCCTGCTTTATTTCCAGTTGTCCCCTTGCAAACAGCAGACAATGTGTCTCTTCCACAGCAGTGGGTAGGACTATTGGTGGTGTTAGGCAGGTAGCATATAGTGGGTTTATCATTTTCTATACAGTGGCTGACGTTAATAGGAGCAATGAGACCAAATAAAAACCAAAACAACAAGGTGGAAAATGCTAAAATGCTTCATAGAGCTGAGGGGAAATGCAGAGTTTTGTGATTGTGATATTTGTCATTTGATCTATTGTTCATATAAAAATATAGTCTCTTCACCAGTCAAACCTGGGAACAATGTAAAACTCATATTGTCGATAAATGTAATCACAATGTCTAAACTTTCAAAGACTTTTCAAACTTTCAGTATGGCAGTAGCAAATTCATATCAAGCGTGTGATATGATATCAGCGTTGGCACGTCAAAACACTGACGTTCAAGGAAACAGCAATTCATTTTTTCATTTACCTTGGAGCTGCGTAACTGAGTAAAGGTTTCAAGAACACTGCAAGACATTTTCCTTGTATCTCTGTTAAACAATTTACGATTCATTTCATGGCATTAATCAAGCAGCCTAAATTTACGGGGAATCATTGAATAGTGTTTTGTATAGGTTCAGTGCGATAATAGAATGGAACCATGCATGTGCTTTGGGCAGCAGATGAGATAGGTTAGCCTGGTATTGAGAAGAAATCACAAGTGATTGAAAGTAGAATTTTATTTGGACTACGAAAGCATGAGAATTGGTGGGACAGGTAAATAATGGAGAGCACATGTTGTGGAATGTTATATTACCATATTTTTGTGAAAACATGTTAAAGCTCTGTTCATAATGTAACATGCTGTACAGTACATTGATCACTACAGTGCAGATCATACATACATATACAGAACACAGTCATGAAATGGCCTGCTGGCAAGGGAAGGCAAATCATTTACACTTTTTAAAGGAATTAAAGGAATAGTTTGTTGTAATACGTTTTTGTTTTTGCTGCAAGATTGACACCACTCTCATGCCCAGTGTGTACAGTTAATATGAAGCTACAGCTGGCAGCCAGTTAGCTTAGCTAAGTACAGAGACTGGAAACAGGGGAAACAGCTTGCCTGGCTCTGTCCAAAGGTAATAAAAACAGCCTACCAGCACCTTTAAAGTTCACTATTTAACGCATTTTATATATATCACAACTTCCGTGTTAAGACATAGGCTTGCTAGCTGTTTTCCCTATTTCCAGACTTTATGCTAAGCTAAGCTAACTTGCTGCTAGCTGCAGTACACAGGGTGACATCACATATGTAACATAAACTGACTGATTACATACAGTGCCTTTAAACTTACCAGCCACTTTATTAGGTACACCTTGCTAGTAGCCTTTCTGTCATCTCGAACCAGTCTGCCCAATATCCTCTGACCTCTAACATCAACAAGGCATTTTTGTCCACGCAACTGCTGCTCACTGGATATTCGGACCATTCTCTGTAAACCCTAGAGATGCGTGAAAATCCCAGTAGATCAGCAGTTTCTGAAATACTCAGATCAGCCCGTCCCATTCTGATGCTCAGTTTGAAATTCAGCAAGTTGCCTTGACCACGTCTACATGCCTAAATGCATTGAGCTATTTGTGTTAACAAGCAATTGAACAATACCTAATAAAGTGGCTGGTGAGTGTATAGAAGAGCTGAGGTTTCAAACCTACACTGGGATAAGGAGACAGATTGACCAATATGGGTCTTTGATGGCCAGTAGTAATAAAGCGTTTCTATTGGATGGCCTTTGCTTCAAGCCAAAATTCTGTTTTAATAGTATGGTTTAATTTATTTTTTTATTCCAAAAGATGATCCTCTGAATTTTACTTTTGGCAGTGTGGCCAAGCCTCTGGACCAGCCTTTTGATTATGTGACACTCCAAAAAAACTTTCCTATATATAGTATGTTAGTAGTAGTATAATTGATCATATCATACTGCATTTAACTTCAGCTTGGCTTTATCATGGCTTAGAAAGGATGCCACCGCACAAAGGGAACCAGGCACAAATGTATATAACTTGCTTGGCCTGAAGCAGCCACACATTAGAACAGAGAGGCTTTGATCCTTGGCTTGCCAACCAAAACCTGAGGAAGGAATGAAGTAGTGCTTTTGAACATGAAGGGGGGTTGACTCCTCAGAGGGCAAATATTCAGTAAGCATGCAGACAGTAGGTTTCCACTGACTGAGATGCCAAAAGCAACAATGGAGCAGCACTCCCCTTTGAATATTGGAAGACGAGAGCCAACAGTTCTCCAGCTGACCTAGTGAAAATGGAGCTTTGATTGTGAATTATTCCTCTTATAAAACCCATGTCCTCATTTGCCACGTTACCTGTCACCAAAATGTCCTCCAGACGGGAAATTAAACAGGGAACGATGCAGTGTGTTATTGACAAAAATCACACTTGTTCCCCTTCCAATAGTCCCATTTACTGCGGCCTATAGCATCCTATAACTTCAATGACGAACAGAGACATTTAACTCTGGAAGGGAATCCTTTAAAATCAAATTAGATGTCAAGGATTGATGAGACCGGTTTTTAGCCTCTTTGCATGCTTGGAGTTTTAAAATCATCAGACATGCTTGAGATTTCAGTCCTGGTTGATTCTGCAGCACCCATGGTAAACAGCACGTGCAATTTAATTTCACAGGAAACACTATTTGAACATCTTCTTCGTCAGAAATACAACAGAAGAGTCACTGGTGGTATTTATTCACAGTGCAGCCAAACAAACTCAAGTTGTTATGCTGCACACCGCTTGAGTAGATTTCCACAAAACAGCAATGTATTGTTAAGAAGCCTGCAACTGTTCATCTAACAGCTCGTTGCGGCTGCTCTGTCTTGCTACCACCTTTCACAAATTAGATATCCTCCGCTGATGACAAAATGCTGAAAAGTACTTTTGTCTTGTTTTCTTTGATGGATTTTTGATGAATGATCACAGTTAGCACTACCTTCTGTGACAGATACAGTGTGATTTTGGCTGCTTTACAATAAAAGCCACCCTGTGTTTCCCCAGCTGCTTTTATATGTGAAGCAGCAGCAGGAACTTTTATTTTTGCATTAACAGTAACCTATTATAGCTCTGACATGGCTGTGGGAACGTGAACAGTAAACAGCAAGGCAGATATCAACGAGACAATTTAAAAAAAAAACATGTGAATTTCCTGTGATTGACACATCGTTAGGTAGACAATTGGGATCCAGTGTGGGAATGGCGGATCCCGACATGTCAAAAACCCTACATAAAAAAAAAAACCTATTCAGAGCGATTATTACAGAATGTAAATATATTGAATGGCTATTGCTCCAAAAATGAACAAAAAACATAAATAGCATCAAAAATGGGGCTTGGTTTTATGGATTATAACTTGTTTAAGTTGTTTGCAGGGCAGGAGTGTCTCATCTTTCCTCCAAAGCTCTGCGCTCTGTTGCAAGACGCAGAACACGCAGAGCACAGCTGTAGAGATCACTGGTTGAAGGCCAACAATTGTTTTGATTCCTCTGCCTATCCCACAAAAGGTTGTACTGATGTTTATGAAATGTTTGACCATTTTG